GGAGTTTACTGTGTTATGTGAACTTTATTTAAAGGAGTTTACGTGCAGTGTTCCTGTGTAAGGTGTTACTGGTAGGTTACTGGGTAGTTTTTAACTGTGCAGTGTTACTGTGTAATAGTGTTTACTGTGTATGTTACTTGTAGTGTTACGTGCAGTGTTACTGTGTAGTGTTACTGTGCAGTGTTACTGTGCAGTGTTACTGTGTTATAGTGTTACTGTGCAGTGTTACTGTGCAGTGTTACTGTGTTATAGTGTTACTGTGTTATAGTGTTATAGTGTTACTGTGTTATAGCGTTATAGTGTTACTGTGTTATAGTGTTAACTGTGTCAGTGTTACTGTGCAGTGTATCTGTTTATAGTTTACTGTGAGTTTATAGTGTTACTGTGCATAGTGTTACTGTGTTATAGTGTTACTGTGCAGTGTTACTGTGTTATAGTGTTACTGTGTAGTGTTGGGTTTCCTCAATATCTGGAACAATTCTTCCATCTGTTGCTTCATGTGTTGCATGCTCTGCAACACTTGTATAGCCTTCTCCAGCTCGTCATTGGTGGACTTGACAATGGATGACACCTCCTGGTTCCTCTCCTGGTCTAGCTCCTGGAGCTTCTTCTCCACGCCACCCAACAGCCTCTCCACCTGCAAATCACAAATATGTTAAACTTTGAAATAACATAATTAATACCTTTTTTTGCAGGCTGGTGTCTTGCTGAGGGTTATTAATGGACCCTTACTGGTTTATTGCTCCTCTATACAGTCAAGCCTCTTATATAGCTGTATATAGTGGAGCTGTATAACAGAAATGACTATATAAATTAAACTGAACAAGTATGTTTCAATGTTATATATTGTAGATCAGTATACAACACAATACATCAGTATACAACACAATACATCAGTATACAACACAATACATCAGTATACAACACAATACATCAGTATACAACACAATACATCAGTATACAACACAATACATCAGTATACAACACAACACATGTATACAACACAATACATCAGTATACAACACAATACATCAGTATACAACATAATACATCAGTATACAACACATCAGTATACAACAGAATACATCAGTATACAACACAATACATCAGTATACAACACATCAGTATACAACACAATACATCAGTATACAACACAATACATCAGTATACAACACAATACATCAGTATACAACACAGTACATCAGTATACAACACAATGCATCAGTATACAACACAATACATCAGTATACAACACAATGCATCAGTATACAACACAATACATCAGTATACAACACAATACATCAGTATACAACACAATACATCAGTATACAACACAGTACATCAGTATACAACACAATGCATCAGTATACAACACAATACATCAGTATACAACACAATACATCAGTATACAACACAATACATCAGTATACAACACAATACATCAGTATACACACAATACATCAGTATAACAACACAATACATCAGTATACAACACAATACATCAGTATACAACACAATACATCAGTATACAACACAATGCATCAGTATACAACGAAATAGATCGATGCATTGCAACAGTTTCTTGGGTATTGCAACACAGTGTTGCATGGGGTGTTACCTTTTGTGTTATGTTGCACTCAATGTCATCCATTAGGCTGGAATATCTCTCTTGCAACATATTGATCTGCAACACACACTGCTCAGTCTGGCTGGATGTGTTCTGCAGGTCGTTCACCCCAGTGCCGTTCAACTGTTGAACAATTGTTGTCTTGATCAAGTGTTACTAGAGAACATGGAACACTAGTAGTGTAGAACATGACACATGGAACACTAGCAATGTTGAACATGACACATGGAACACTAGTAATGTTGAACATGACACATGGAACACTAGCAATGTTGAACATGACACATGGAACACTAGTAATGTTGAACATGACACATGGAACACTGGCAGTGTTGAACATGACACATGGAACACTGGTAGTGTTGAACATGACACATGGAACACTGGTAGTGTTGAACATGACACATGGAACACTGGTAGTGTTGAACATGACACATGGAACACTGGTAGTGTTGAACATGACACATGGAACACTGGTAGTGTTGAACATGACACATGGAACACTGGTAGTGTTGAACATGACACATGGAACACTGGTAGTGTTAACATGATACATGGAACACTGGTAGTGTTGAACATGACACATGGAACACTGGTAGTGTTGAACATGACACATGGAACACTGGTAGTGTTGAACATGATACATGGAACAGCGACCTCCATCGAAGACACCGCAAGACTCCAAGCAGACATCGACCAAATCTTCAAATGGGCCACTCAAAACAATATGAAGTTCAATGAAGAGAAATTTCAATTATTCATATATGGAAAACTTGAGGAAATTAAAACTGTATCAGGGTATATGGCAAATTCTAACCATACAATAGAGCAAAAAAGAAATGTGAAAGACCTGGGAGTGATAATGTCAGAGGATCTCGCCTTCAAAGCCCACAACATTGTATTTACCACATCTGCTAGGAATATGATAGGATGGATAATGAAAGCTTTCAAAACTAGGGATGCCAAGCCCATGATGATTCTCTTCAAATTCCTTGTTCTCTCTAGGCTGGAACACTGCTGTACACTACTAACGTCCCCCTTCAAGGCAGGGAAAATTGCTGACCTGGAGAGTGTACAAAGAACTTTCACGGCGCACATTAATACGATAAGGCACCTAACTTACTGGGAACGATTGAAGGCCTTTGATCTGTATTCCCTGGTGTGCAGGCGAGAGAGATACATGATAATATACACTCGGAACATTTTTAGAGGGATTAGTACCAAACTCTCACACGAAAATCACTCCCTATGAAAGCAAAAGACTCAGCAGGAGATGCAACATTCCCCCGATGAAAAGCAGGGGCATCACAAGTACACTGAGAGCCAACACAACTGGATATCATTAATATAGCTTCATTAGTCCATTACAGTTGGGGACATCAGGGAGTGATTCCCTCAAACTCCTGCTGATCTTCACCCCCTGTCTTTCACTGATGAAAACCACAGGTGTCTATCGTGGAATTTTGCAACTGGGAAAATTTTATTGAAAAAAGAGGGGGACATGGATGGGAAGGGGCCCCCTTTCTCGTGCATTTATTTTGCATGAACTATGTTCAATTGCTTGTAAAACAAGAAAACACTAATATTGCCGCAACACACTGCTGCTGTCTTCACACAGATGCTGATTTCAAAATTTCTTGGAGATGAATTGAAAGAAGTTTCTGATGATGCTACAAATATAGTCAACTTTATTAAAGAAAGAGCAGTTAGTCCAGAAAGTTTTAAAAAGCTCTAGAAAACCCGGGGGGGTGGTAGAGCAAGAGCTCTAAGTTGGGTGTCTCAGCTCAAAGTTGAAGTGAACGAATATTTTCAAGAAAACAATAAGCAAGAGTTTTGAAGATGAAAAATGGTTGCAGATGTTAGTCTGCTTAGTAGATATTTCTTGTTACATGAATCAGGTGAATGAGTCACTGTAAGGCCCTGCAGAAAATGTATTGACTTCAAAATTACACTCACTCACCCACTGACTATAAACACAGAAATACTAATCTTAATCTTAAAATAATGAATCCTAACTAGTCATAAGTTTGCCTATGATACTCCAATATAGACACTTTGTATTGTGCCAAAACAAAAGCATTCACATTGTTAGACTCACAAATTATGATGTAGTCACTTAGCCTTAATACCATAATCTGTAAGGACTTAATGTTAAGAATTAATCTAAGTCTGCTGGAAATGCCTAGCCATGCTAGGTGTCCTAGTGGCCCCCTCTGTAATTAGTATTTTATAACATGTAAACCACACAATACCCAAAACCTGTAAACCCCACATTGTAACCATTATAGAGAATAAACTAGAACTGAAAAGTGACCAGATTCTTGGATTTAAAAGAAGACGATCTTTGGAAAAATCATGTTGCAAGAGTAAATCTTGAGATGTATCAACTACTGCTGCTGGAGCTTAAATTTAAAGGATAGCAGTAAATTTCAAGTGTTATTGAAACCCACCAAGAAGAACTGTGGATAAAAATCAAACATTATTTTTGCTTCCTTTCAAGACAAGTGTATTATAAGTGGCTGAAGGATCCAAACTCTGAATCATCTGGTCATCGTGACGACTTGACTTTAAGAGAAGAGAAAGAACTTTGTGAGCTACAGTCTGATCGTACACTTAAGAGATTTACTGACCTATCCCTGGACAAGTTAAGGATTTCTGTAATAGAAGAATATCCTGCCATTCAAAGGAAACAATAAATATATTGGTGCAGTTTTCAGCCTCTTACCTGTGTGAACCAGCTTTTTCTTATTTAACAAGTATCAAAGGCAAAGACAGCAATTGTCTCCTTTCAGTTGAAGATGAAATCTGTCAGTGTTTATTTAAAGTTCGACCCACAATTATTTATGTACCGAGACAACCAAAGGTTTCACATTACAGAAGCAAATTTCATGATCTAAACTGCCTTCAAAAATAACATTCCCTTGTACATATGACATTTTGCCTTGATTTATCTTATGCCTTTTTCAACATTGTCAATAAACATTATAATAGTAGCTGTTACTGTTTTTGTTCTGTCTGTATGTACAGTGGAACCTCCGTTTTCTTTCGCCCTGGTTTTCATTGAATTCGGTTTTCGACGACTTTTTTCGTCAAAATTTTTGTCCCAGTTATCGGTTTTTGTTGAGCTGACAGTCGTCCGCTGTACCGAATGTGTCCGCCTGCACATACACAAAACATCCCACATGTTCTGAGTCAGTCTGGGTTTGTTTCTTGTCGGTCAAGGGTGGTAGTGATGGTGGTAGAGGGTGGTGGTAGTGATGGTGGTAAAGGGTGGTAGTGATGGTGGTAGAGTGGTGGTAGTGATGGTGGTAGAGGGTGGAAGTGATGGTGGTAGAGGGTGGTAGTGATGGTGGTAGAGGGTGATAGTGATGGTGGTAGAGGGTGGTGGTAGTGATGGTGGTAGAGGGTGGTAGTGGTGGTAGAGGGTGGTAGTGATGGTGGTAGTGATGGTGGTAGAGTGCAGTAGTGATGGTGGTAGAGGGTGGTGGTAGTGATGGTGGTAGAGGGTGGTAGTGGTTGTGGTAGAGGGTGGTAGTGATGGTAGTAGAGGGTGATAGTGGTTGTGGTAGAGGGTGGTAGTGGTTGTGGTAGAGGGTGGTAGTGATGGTGGTAGAGGGCAGTAGTGATGGTGGTAGAGGGTGGTAGTGATGGTGGTAGATGGTGGTGGTAGTGATGGTGGTACAGGGTGGTGATAGTGATGGTGGTAGAGGGTGGTGGTAGTGATGGTGGTAGAGGGTGGTAATGATGGTGGTAGAGGGTGGTGGTAGTGAGGTGGTAGAGGGTGGTAGTGATGGTGGTAGAGGGTGGTGGTAGTGATGGTGGTAGAGGGTGGTGGTAGTGATGGTGGTAGAGGGAGGTGGTAGTGTGGGGTAGAGGGTGGTAGTGATGGTGGTAGAGGGTGGTGGTAGTGATGGTGGTAGAGGGTGGTAGTGGTGGTGGTAGAGGGTGGTGGTAGTGATGGTTATAGAGGGTGGTAGTGGTGGTAGAGGGTGGTAGTGATGGTGGTAGAGGTGGAAGTGATGGTGGTAGAGGGTGATAGTGATGGTGGTAGAGGGTGGTGGTAGTGATGGTGGTAGAGGGTGGTAGAGATGGAGGTAGAGGGTTGTAGTGATGGTGGTAGAGGGTGGTAGTGGTTGTGGTAGAGGGTGGTAGTGATGGTAGTAGAGGGTGGTAATGGTTGTGGTAGAGGGTGGTAGAGATGGAGGTAGAGGGTGGTAGTGATGGGTGGTAGGGGTGGGTAGTGGTTGTGGTAGAGGGTGGTAGTGATGGTAGTAGAGGGTGGTAGGTTGTGGTAGAGGGTGGTAGTTGTTGTGGTAGAGGGTGGTAGTGATGGTGGTAGAGGTGGTAGTGATGGTGGTAGAGGGTGTAGTGATCGTGGTAAGAGGGTGGTGGTAGTGAAGGTGTAGTGATGGTGGTAGAGGTGGTTGGCAGTGACGGTGGTTGAGGGTGGTGTAGTGATGGTGGTAGAGTAATGGTGGTTAGAGGTGTTAGGATGTGATTAGAGGGTGGTAGTGATGGTGGTAGAGGGTGGTAGTGGTTGTGGTAGAGGGTGGTATGATGGTATGTGAGGTGTAAGTGGTTGTGGTTAAGGGTGGTAGTGATGTGTAAGAAGGTTGTAGTGATGGTGGTTAAAGGGTGGTAGCAGTTGTGGTAGAGGTGGTAGTGATGTTAGTAGAGGGTGGTAGATGGTTTGTGGTAGAGGGTGGTAGTGATGGTTTGTAGAGGGTGTAGTGATGGTGGTAGAGGGTGGTGGTAATGATGGTGGTGTATAGTGATGGTGGTAGAGGGTGGTAGTGATGGTGGTAGTGATGGTGTAGAGGGTGGTGGATAGTGAGTGTGGTAAGGGTGGTGGTAGAGGGTTGGTAGTGAGGTGGTAGAGGGTGGTAGAGGGTGGTGGAGTGATGGTGGTAGAGGGTGTAGTGATGTGGTAAGTGGGTTGGTAGTGATGGTAGAATGAGGGGTGGTAGTGATGGTGGTAGAGCGGTGATAGTGATGGTGAAGAGGGTGGTGTAGTGATGGTGGTAGAGGGTGGTAGTGATGGTGGTAGAGGGTGGTAGTGAGTGGTAGTAGAGGGTGGTAGTGATGGTTAGTAGGGTGGTATGATGATGGTAGTAGAGGGTGGG